CATGCAAACAATATTTGTTTACTTTTTGTTTTGGCCACTTGATTAGTGTCCAAAACTGTACAGTTTCCAAGGAAGGTCTTGTTTTGTTGTGTTTTTAAGCAAGAAACCACCAGCAAATTTTGTCTTCCCCTTGCTTGGGAGTGTATGCTCCTCTCAGGATTCCAATTGTTTTGGACATAATAGGAAGGGCATGTACAGGTGTGTGCTTTGACAAACAGTCTGTCCCTGTGTTAGGTGACATACCTTTGACATTTGAAGAAAGCCTCAGCTTCATATGCATGAAAGTATACACCTCTCTGGACTTAGAAATCAGGTTTTGAGAATAAAACAAACCCAAATTAAATTGGTTTCATTTTGAAAAGTCAAACCCCATAAGACTTTAATACTTGGGTGTATGCTGATGAAATACCATGACTCTAAAGATTGTTAATATTCATGGAAGTCTGAAATAATTCATGACTTTCTGAAGTAATGTTAGATGATGTACGATGGTAAACAGTATCATTTACACTGAACCTTAAAAATTATTGACAAAGACAAGTTCCTAAACACTGGCTAAACCTTGTATTTGTTGTTATGATTTCTTGGTTTTATACTTCAAGCAGATTTTCAATTAACTCCACTGCATTCAGAGTAATTATTCATTTATTATAGTCAGTTTAGATATGGTAAAGATTAAAGGAGTAAAACAAATCATTTCAGTGACATAGGCTAGTGATACATTGTTATTATTCTGATTTATTTGCCTCTTGCATAAGGAAGATTTATACCATCCATTTTTGAGTGACTCCTTGTTAGCATACATTTTTATAGATACTTTTTTGCTAAAATAGTGTTTTGATTAGGTAAAAAGCTACCTTGCTGTCTTCGTCTCTCCCCATTCCTTGAGAAAATACAGATGTTCCTAGAATAAAAGGAAAAGGATTGTAGATGTGCACAGCACACTTATTATACATGCAGTAAAATGTGCGTCTCTATTAATAAAAAAGTCCAGAATATGATGCACCGCTGTTCTAAGATAACTACGTGTGTTCGATGTTGAGAAATTAATGGCACGGAGCAGATGCCTTCAGTCATCTAGGAAGTGTGGTTTCCCAGTGCACTGCAACTGCATGCCCTGCAGTGTGTCATCTCACTTATGAAGGGGTTTTACATGTTTATAAAAGTGTTTTAAACATTGGTAAAGTTTATTTTATGCATTATGCATAAAAGTTGTCATTAGGATTTAACAAAGCAGCTTGCAGAGAAAGATTACAAATAAAATCTCTGTATACAAAAACGATTTGGATGGTTTAGCTAGATGGTTCTGACTTAAAAAATTAACATTTCACTTACTGTTCTCAAACATACAGAGAAAGAAAAATAGCATTAACTGAAAAGAGTGAAATATATGTTGTTATAGGAGTGCCTGGCAGGATCACTATTACAGAGGTTCTTTTAGTATTTCCATTATAAATCCTCTTTATTCAGTGTAATATCGTGGTAATTTCAAATCACATTTGGCTTTAACTTGGCAAATAATCTGTCAACACAAAAATTCAGTTCATTTATATGTATGTATATGCATGCATTCATTTATATTATTCATTTATATGTATGCATGCATTTATTCTTACATGTGCACAAACTGTCATGTTCACATGTGGCTGATGTGTAGATTTAAAAAGAAGTAATGATTGTAAAGCTATTCTTTTTTTGGTCCAGTTTGCCTAGCCATAAATTTAAAGAAGATTACAGATTGGATTTTCAGAAGCACTTAGCGTTGCCTTAAATGGTCACATTTAAGTTAATGGTAAAATTCCTATGACTTAAATTGCAGTAAAGTTAGGTCAGTGCTGCTGAAAATCTCACTCCATCCTTTCAAACTCTGTTTAGGAGTCTAGCTCTAGGTGTGTGGTGTAAGTGACAGACTTTAGGGGCATAGTAACATTTTAGTGAAACTTCAAGGGGATTACTCAGAGCTCTTCTTTGCCTCTGTATGTATGACTAGATAAAAAGCCTAAAGCACTAATCTAGACACCTATATTAGACATTTAATTGATTCAGTTTGGGGAAATAGTTTTCCTCTTTAAAAGCAAACTTGAAAGGATGCTTTTATGTTAGATCTAAATAAAGAGAAAAGACCCATTAGGAAGTGAAAGATGCCACAAGTAAACAACATGGATGAATGTCATGGCTAGAGTTATATGGCAGCAGTATGACAGGTGAAAGTATCAATAAGGATGTAGAAGAAACTCACTGACAATAATAAAAAGACACGTTTAGCAGCCATACTTTTATTTTATGTTGCCGTCTTTTTTGATTTTTTTTATTTGGATATGTTCCTTTTTGCTGAATTTTCCACTGCCACATGCCTAATTTAGACATTATCTGTCAGGTACTTTTATCTACATATATTTTGCAAATTAGAACAACACTTGTCCAAAATAAAGAAGGTGCCTTGAGCACCTTCTGTATGAGATGGGCTGAGGGACTTGTTTTATTGGGTTTTGGTTGTTGTTGTTGTTTTTTTTGTTTTGTTTTGTTTTTTTTTTCTTGGAGAAGAGAAGGCTCTGAGGGCGCCCCACAGCCCCTTCCAGTACCTAAAGAAGGCCTACATGAGGGCTGGAGAGAGACTTTTACAAGGGCATGTAGTGATAGGACAAGGGGAAATGGCTTTATACTGAGCTTGTGGTCATGTCTAATGTGGATCACACCAAAAACTCTGGGTTTAACTTGGTACTTCCTGAATGGAAGATTCTATTCTGTCCCTTGTGTCTCTCTCCTTGATAGGCTGCCGTGTAATAAAGAGTCCAGGTCAGTCTTTCCTTCACACACTGCAAGTTTAAAATATTCTGTGAATGTAATTAATGAAACTTTATTTTTCCTTAGTATCTTAACGTGTATTATTGTATTGCAACTAAAAAGTTCACATTGGGTTCTATTGCAAAGATCAAAAAAATTATATTGGGAAACTTCAAAGCAAGAAATCCAGAGGAAATATTTTCTACTCAAGAGAATTATCACAGGTCCAGATGGCATAGTACTGAGGGGAGTTCATGAGGTTTTTTTTACCCTTAGAACACCATTCATATCTTATCTGGAATGGCTACCAGCTAAACCTCAGCCTGACTTAGACTCCTTCAAACTGCTCTGTGGCCTGCAGGAAGCATCCAAATCCAACATCCAAGTCTATTTCTGCCACTGTTTAAGCCAAACTTTTTCTCTAAATTTTTATTGCCCACTTTTTGTACTTTCCTAACTCTGAGGCTTTCCGGGATTTGCTGGGATCTCAAATATAGTTAGTAGCAAGGACTTTGTGAATGGTGATGTGTGTGGGATGCCAGATTGCTGTGAATTTCCATGGAGCTGATTGCCTGTCATTCTGCAGAAAACTGTTGATCTTCAGAAAGGACCATTCTACTTTTTGTTCTCTACAACAAAATGTATTTGATGGGACTAGAGCTTTAGGTACCTAGGAGAAACAAGAGCTTTAGGTACCTTTCAGGAAAAACTGACCTACTGGACTAGGAAACAGTGGTGTCTGTGTCACAGAACCTTTCATTATCCTGGCCAGTAATTATGCAAAAGGGGACATCTTTGACATCTATGCAATCATTTATTCCTTTTGTGCTGCTATCAAGAGACCAACTAGGGGAGGAAATTTCCTATGTGTTTCTATTTTTTTGTGTTTTCTGAGCAAGAAATTACAATGCCTAGTAAATAGAGCAGGTTCTTTATACTCATTATGGACTATTGTGTGAAAATGCTTTGCTGACTTCAGAGGAAAACCCATAAATTTGTTAGATGTGTTTTGCTAAGTGTATATTTGACCCAGAGTGAAAATTATTGCTACAAGAGATTTCTGAAGAATAAATGAGAGTTATGTTATTCCAGCTCTGAAAATTGCAATTTGGGTGGCTGTTTGATCTGACCTGTGACATAATAAATGAGCATGTACATGTTAAAATGACATAGACTCATCAGGCCAGGATGAACAACAACACAGGCTGTGCTAGTACTTGCTAAGTTTAATTTTCTTGTTTCTCCACCCCTACAGAATATTGTACACTGCTTTGTTTAGTCCTCAGCATTTATGGAATAATGATAGGTTAGTAAACCATTTTTTTTTTTTTTTTTATTGTTTAGGATGGAATTTCATGTGCTTACCAGATTAACACTTCACACAATAAAAAAAAAGAATGGGTGGTCTTTCTCTGCTTTTCTGATGTCTTGAACCTAGAGGTTTTTTTTCCTTCAGCAATCTCTAGTATAAATAGAGATAGCAGTAAATTGAGTAACAGCTGCTGAAGAACTGCTCTACTAACCATGCCAAAGGGATATTTCATATTCTTGCTGTGTTTCTTCTTTGTTCCGTTCTGCATAGTACTCATGCACTGAGATCTAGGAATGGTAGGGATCTGAGGAGTTGCTGGTGACAAGGGCATTTTCAGCCATGTGTTAAGATAGTCTTTACATTGCTGGCATGACACAAAAAGAATGTAAAAATATCTGGAAGTGATGTTATTTTGGTCTGGTTTTCATAAAACCAGAATTGCATTCTCTGCTTGAACCATTTTATCTTTATTTTATCATTTCTTATTTCTTTGGCTAATCAGAGATTTTTGTGTTTTGCAAAAGAGAAGAACTTGCAGCAATCATTATTTTGTCTTGACAACTTTTCTTTGTGAAATGGAATTATTGCCTAACAAAAAGCAGAGATTGCCCTCAACTACTATAGACTAGGACATCAGCAGTCAAATGAGGTCTTGGCATCTTGCCGTAGAACAAGCTGCCTAAAATTCTGGATAATCTCCCCCATCATCACACATCTTGTACAAGATCTTGTGATTCTTAGAGTCCCAAAAGCACAAAGAAATAGTTTGTTAAAAAATTCAAGCATGAGCATCTTATGCAGTTGTTGGGCATTAATTTTGATACCATTCAAATTGCCTTTCTGATTGCACAATAAATAGAGATTCGGAGTCAAAAATAACAAAGCCTACTTTTCCTCTTTGCAGGCATAGGTGTGTGAGAATGATTTAATTATTGAAGCCATTACTAAAGGGAGGAATTGAGGAGCTAAAAATGGGCAGATACTGCTTCTGCACCAGAAGGTATGTTTTTTAGCATTGAAATACTGCCTTTCATGTGGTGCTCAAAAATAACATTTTTTGAAGGGAAACTGACACTGTATAATTCAAATTCATGCATCTAAGCATGTCTTAAATTGTACTCCAGCAAAACAAGTATTAACTCTGTTTAATTATCCACCTAGTGGTATGAGGAACCAGGTGAAGACAAAATGCAACTCTTCTGATCAGAGAAAAAAAGATATTTGCTAACAACAGAAGGAACAGAAAGATAGTTGTAGGTTCATGATTCTGTCATAACTGATGTGTTGTGCCCCTGAAACAGGAGTTTTGGCTTCCCCAGACCATTTCCATCAGCATATCTAATTGCCTAATTCCACATCCTTCCTTTGTTGACATGAAATAAGAAGAAATCCAATATATGGGCCAAAGAAACTGCAGCTAAAATGTGGTACTCTTGACTTTTTTCAGCAGAATTTGTAAGCTAAACACCGCTAGATCAGCCTAGGGTAACTCATGGCCAGAGTTTCAGATGAATATGTACTTGCTAATCTATTGGACTTTAAGGAGACAGCTATTGTACCTCTTTGTGCAGACTGAATATGATTTGTCTGTACCACAGGAGCACAGTTAGCTTGTGGTTTACAATGAACTGTATACTGGGAATATTACAGGCTCTTGCCTTGCACATTTACCTTGTATCTAGTAGGTGACATAAACACTAAGCTACCTGCTGAATTAAATGGGGTTAGGGTTGCCTCATGGTTTATATTACTGACCACCTACCTGATGTGAAAACAGAAATCAGTAGCAGCATGAATGACTCGGCGAGCAGAGTTGCTATTAAAGCATTAATGGTCTCTATCTGCAATCCATATTACATGATGATAAGAAAAGTGAGGTTAATGAAAACAATCAATGTGAATTTCTGTGGTTTTACTAAATAAGAGTCTATTTATAGTTTCAGTGTTGAAATTGAAGTAATGTTAAGTCTTAAACTAGAACTAAGTTTTCAGTATTGGCATTACTTTCTCTGCATATTGGGCTCTTAATGCACTTGGAGTGAGTTCCAGGGATGGAAAATTTTTCAAATGAGTCAAGTGCTTTATAACATGTTGCTTTTTTATTTTTTAATGAAAGGAAATGTCTAGTTATAGCAGCAGTAAGAGCACCTATCTTGGAAGCAGCTGATATTACTTTTCTGTTTGTAATCTGCAGTTAGATGATTCTAGATTTCAGGAAAAATGCTGCAGAAATCTATTTCTTATTTAATTTCTACTGTTCTTTCGAACAGCAGTTTGCAGAATGCATCTGGGTGTACAGCTAATGACCCATGAGCAATAAGCAACTGTTTAAGTAAAATGCACTAGGAAAAAGCTTTTACCAAACAGCATTTTAATATTTTAAATAGATTTTCCATTGCAGACTCTTAGTAACTGGATTAGTTCTCTGATGTGTTCTGACAGAGCTGTTGTTAGGGATACTCCATTAACTTTGTCTGTCATCTTATTTTCCCCAGTATCCAGCATAACACCCTTATATTTCATAATTTGTATTGCTATCAGTGCTGATTTGTAAATGTGCAAATTATAATTAACAACGGCCACTACTTCTATTAAATATTAAATCATTCTTGCAGCCTATATTTTCCACAGCAGATGGAGCCCTGTGGTATGCAAATAGACTTTCCTTAAGTAGTCAGCAGTTTTTACCAAAATTTTGGCTTTAAAAATGCTTTCTTTTTTTGTTTGCTTTATGTTTTCTTTTGCATTTAGGTTAATATTTATTCACTGCAGATTCTCTTTCTCCCCATAAGAATTTCATGGACTATTACATTCTAGCACTGAGGTTTTGTTTCACTTCATTAATAGCCCCTTAATCATATAGCTTGCTTGTAAAGTACAAATGCTTGTTATTTGTACTTATGCTGCAGTATTGCATAAGAGGCATTTAGTTATATTTTAATATGTATAGCAGAAGCAAAAATGCTGGGTACACCAACATAGTTTTTAATATGAAAACCAATTTACGTGCACAGTTTTTTTCCCCCAGAATAAGCAAAAGCATTTATGGTTTTATATTGTGCCTTAAACATTCCATTAAATGTCATCAGCTGATTCAGGAAAACGTATTGCAAAATTACTAGAGAACTGTAAAATGTGTAAATGTAATGAATGTTCAGGGCATAGAAAGGATTGAAAGTCCAACATATATCAGGTAACTATAAAACAGCAAGAAACATCGATAGAACATTACATTTTTCTAATGTATAGTACCTTAAGCATGAAACTCTTATTTTTGGTGTTTACTGCTGTGCTGTTTTATTAAAGAACACTGATCCAGAGTTAACATAGCCTTTCCAATACTGAGAGGAATCTGAAAGGCAAGCAGCATCATTCAGGAAATGGTTTCACTATCCACTCCAGCAATTGCAAATTAAGATTTTCAAATGATTGACTATGAGATTGTATCCTAAATAAGGGCAACCCATTTTTTTCCCACATTTTTAAATGGACACAGGAACATGGAGCTCAAGGACATTAACTGCCACATTAACCAAAGAGTAATGAAAACTTCTCTGAATGAATATCTCAGTGAGCTGAAATGGCCTCAGCAATATAGAAATGAATTGTAACAAGTTAGGGTCTTGTCTTCCTGCTGGTTTAGTAGGAGTTGGAATTAGCATGCTAAGTGGGATCAGCAGCAGTGAACAACTGGACTGGAGTATCCTGGAATCCATGCTGTGAGTGCATATTGATAGTGTGATACCTCTCCTAACACTGAGGTACCATTTAGTCACAGATATTGATGTATATTAAACTGAAGTTGTAAGTGATGTGGAGTAGAATTCTGGGATGTTATGCCAGTTTGTCTGAGCAGGAGCAGCTCTGGACACTCAGATCCTTTATATCTATCAAGAAGGTACTTTTTAGGTATGGCAGGAGAAATTCAGATAACAGGATGGGACCTGATGTCAGCCATTTGGGAACAGCTTTATATCAGCATTGTTATAAATGTTAAGAAGAAATGTGATTTGAAGGATGTTGCTGGGACAAAAAGGGAACATAAGTTTTAAAAAGTGAGCAGCTGCTCAGTAAGGAAGCAGAGCAGGCTTGCCATAGGTGAGCTTTTGTTCAGCAACCACATTGTGACATGCAGGGGACCATGGACAAACTTTAAACCAATGGAATTACTGGGAACAGTCTGCTTGTGGCAGTCTGGAACTGCCTGTGGGTTGGCTTATGTTAATCAACTGATTTATTGTCTACAGAACCTGGGCCTGAGGGAATGGCAATTTCACCAGTAGCCTTCAGCCTGTGCTTTTCCAGAAATCTGCTTTTACATACAGAGAATAGTCTTGATGAATTTGATGTTTTATGTAAATTCTCCTGTAGAGAGAGGCTTAAGGAGGCAGAAATTGGACCACTTTATTGAAATGAAGACGGTCCATGTAGATTTAAGTATTACAGAAAGTTGAATTTCAGCAAAATTTTAACCAGAGTCAGGGTAGTATTTGATGTTATGAGTGTATTCAACAAAATATCTAAAGTGTTTTCTTGTGAAAGGAACTTCATAGGAACTTACATGAGCTTTCAAAGAATGTTTACTCCAGAAACTATTGTGCTGTGCCTAGGAAATACTTGTATCCTTGTCTTTATCTCCTTAGCACACTGACACTGCTGTTCCTCACATGCACAGCATGGAACTAATCCCTACCCTTGCTCTGAACTCCAGAACTACTGCTTGGTAATCCTGCACTCTCTGCACAGCTTTGGCCCTTGGCTTTTGGCATCAGCCCTTGCTCTTTGAGTCCACCTCTTTAGAGCAAAGACATTTACTTGCTCAGATAATTGGACACAGGGGCACTTCACATCAACTTTTTTGAAATAGGCCTGACAATTTTCATGTGTGCAGGACACCTGATAGTGATGATTTGGTGCCTCTTGGTGTAGTATATAAGTGATGAAGATGTTGGGCTGTACATAGCTGCAGTTGTCCTCCATGCTCCCCTCTGAAGCCAGAGTTCAGGTATGCAGTACCTCTGGAAATCTGATCTATAGTGGCTAGTGAAAGCATTTATAGGCAATTGAACATCTCTTAACATCAGAGCAAAAGAAGCTGTCAGAGAAGAGACCCTGCTTTCTTAAGGTTCAGAAATGCAGTTTAGTCAAAGCCATTAGACAACTCCTATTTAGAGTCAGAGGAAATGCTCTCGGTAGAAGCTAAGGGAACATGAGCATATTTCAGTCATTGACATCCCACTTAAGCTTTATTTAAAGTCTGTCTAAGGAGGTGCTAATATTTAGTCTGTGAAACTGTAGTATTTTTCACCTAGGAGTAGCTAGTTAGGAGTATTTTAATGATGTTGAACAATTTAAATGGCTATATTTCTTCATTCCTTTTCATGAAACCTTATTGTTCTCAATGTGGGAGATTTGGATGTTATAAATTCTCCAGGAAGTACTCTTTAAATACCAATTTGAGTATCTTTGAGACTTAAAAGCACTGGTGTAAGGGTAGTGCATCAATATTCTTGAAGTAATTCAGTGCTTTTGGGGGGATTAATCAGTTATGTTGGATGGGCAATCTACAATGAAAAGGAGGAGAAGCAGGACTCTTAAGCACTCATTTTCCCTGTCCCCAAGTCCTGAAGTTTTGTTCATTCTTGGCTGTACAGTTATTGGAAGAGCTTAGAAAATGCTTAGAGAAATTAGGAAAGATCTTAGCAGTTGTGGGTAGTGGTAAATGCAAGAGAAGATGGCCATTCTACATGGCCAATTCCATACCTGAGATTTGTGACCCTAAAGGATCATGTCTGCAGTCTGTCATACTGTGCCTGCACATCCTTGTCTATTCTTACTCTAATATAAGAATTTTGCTTCTCCACACAGAATGAAATAGTGGCAGTGTTTTGGCTTTCTTCTACCCTGCAAGGCAAATTCATTTGTTAATCTTCTGTCTTTAAAGTGATATGTATTGAAAAGGAGGGCAGGCTGTAGGTTTCCAGCTGTTTGTTGTGTATA